GCTGGGCCTTAAGTGAGGAACACCGGAGTTCAAGTCCGACCTCAGATACTTACTAGCTGTGTGACCCTGGGAAAGTCACTTAACTCTGTTTGTCTCAGCTTCCTATCTGTAAAATGAACTGGAGAAGGAAATGTCAAAACTACTCCAGTATCTTTGTCAAGAAAACCCTAAATGGGTCACAAAGAATCAGATATGATGGAACAATAATGACAACTCTATATGATCCCTTCACCTTCTTCTAGGCTGACTTTAGCTTGTCAATATCACTCTTAGACTGCGGCAACCAGAACTAAACATAACAGTACAGGTATGATTTGATCAGTATTGAGCTAAATAACAATGCTATATAAATTCTTATATTTTAGACTCGAGGTTATTATTACTGTCTAAGATCATACTGAGAAGTGGCAGAATCTAATGGATAGACAAACAGCCTTGGAGTCAGAAAAACCTGGGTTCAAGTGCAACTTCTTACACATACTAGCTTAACAATGGCCCTTAGGGGCAGCGAGATGGCGCAGTGGATAGAGCACTGGCCCTGGATTCAGGAAGACCTGAATTCAAATCCAGCTTCAGACACTTGACACTCACTAGCTGTGTGACCCTGAGCAAGTCACTTAACCCCACTGCCTAGCCAGAAAATAAAAAATAAATAAATAAAAAATAAAAAAACCAATGGCCCTTAACAAGTCACTTAATCTCTCAGTACTACAAGTAATTTTCTCAATCTATAAATTGCTAAGCAGATGCTGATGTGCATGGGTAGAGGGAGTTCTTCACAGAGAGTTTCTACACCAATGAAAAAAAGATATTACAAGTTATTCAGTGAAATATTTTTACAACATTATTTTAAAACCTTAATTTATTTAGAATGGGGAGAGAAAAACACTACCCAATGTTATTTTCAAAGGTACATACAAAACAGTTAAAACAAATTTGTAAGAATTAATTTGAAACAAAAACTCTTTAGCACACCAAGCATGTCTACAATAAGCATTTGTAACTTTCTATCCAGAAAACTCATTTTTAGCGGGTAAAATTTTACTCAAAATTCCATTTTCTTTTTCATCCTGTCAACAAGAGTCACAAAACAGGGCCCCTGTCAGTACCAATTAAATTTGCTTATGTGTAAATATCATAAAAAAAGATATGTACATTTTCAGACAGTAGTAATTTTTAATAAAATCTTGATAGTAACCACTTTCCCCAAGTGAAAAGAAAAAGCTAAATAGTACCCGCTCATTTTCCAAATCGTCTCTCTAATCCCAAATCAAACAAAATCAATCCACAATCTTCCACTGATTCAAAAATAGATGCCAAGTTCTGACATAAGATGCAATGAAACGTGTTTTCTCTCACTAAGGTGACAAACTGGTTACTTCACATACTCCAATAAGCTTTAAACTACATGAGAATATTATGGAAAAAAGACATATGGGGAAGACATACATTTTTTATCAATCAACAAGCAATTATTAAGCATCTACTATGCACTAGGTATTAAGGATATAAAGGAAAAAGTCAAATAGTCAAAAGTTAAGTCTCCAAGTTTACATTCCATCAAGAGATAAAAAGTCCCTTTCAATTCTTTACCTATTATATATGTGTTTGTGTGTGTGTGTGTGTGCGCGCGCGCGCGCGGCTGCTGTTTGTCCTTTGTTGTCAAAGAGGACCATGATATCAGGAAGATGATGCCATGAGTTGCAAGTGAATGGGATTTAAGAAGGTAGGGCTGTGTAAGGTCACCAGCCTCACTTTCTCCTACAGAGCCATGGTATAGATCAAGACTACTGGAGATTGCCCCCCTATGAGCAGGTACTAAATAAATATAAGGTAATTTGAAGGAAGGGCAGAAGATACTAACAGCTGTGATGATCAGGAAAGGCTTCATGCATAATGTGAGCTGAGCCTTGAGGGAAACTAGGGATTCTAACAGAAGAGGAGAGAGTACTTTCTAGACAAAAGGCAAAGACATAGAGAAGGGAGATGGAATGTGGTGTGTGAGGAACAGTGAGGTTAGCTTGGTGGGGCAGTAGAAGGGGAGTCACATGATAATATTGGAAAAATAGGATGGCTACAGGTTGTGAATTGCCAATTAGAGGACTTTTTTTTTTATCCCAGTAGTAACAGGAAGAGTTTGAATAGTGGAGTGGTGTGATCAAAATCTGTGCTTTAGGAAAACCATGTTGGTCTCTTTGTGGCAGATAGATTAGAGCGAGGAGAGACTTAAGACAAGAAAACCAATTAGGAGGTGACTGCACTAATTCAGGGGAGAAGTGATAAGGGCATAAACTAGGGTGGCTATGTGAGTGTAAAGAAAGGAAGAGATACGAGATATATTATAGAAACAAAAAAAAATTTGGCAACCTACTGGATATGTGATATCATGAAAAAAGACAGAGTAGAGCATGACATCAAGGTTTCAAACCTGGTTGAATATAAGGATAGAGGTGTCCTTAACAAAAAAAAAAGTCCTGAAAAGGGGTATGTCGTGGGGGAGGGGAGAGGATGAATAATGAGTTCCATTTTAGACATGGTAAGTATGAGAGGCTAACAGTATGAATTCAGTTTGAAAAACAGACAGTTATTCAACACTAGAGCTCAGTAAAGAAGCAAGGGCTGGATATGTAGATCTGGGAGTCATTTGAAAATGGGAGCTGATAATGTCACCAAGTAAGAGACTAGAGAGAAGAGGACCCAGGCTAATTCTTAAGAAATATCAACACTTAAGAGAGCATGATATGAATGATGATCCAATAAAAGAGATTGGGAATAAGCAGTCACATAGGTAGGAGAAAAAAAGAGAAAGCAGTGCCAGGAAAACCCAGGGAGGAGAGTATTCAGAAGGAGAGAGTAGTTAAAGAGTCAAATACCAAAGAGAGGTCACAAAAGGTGAACACTGAGAAAAGGCCATCAGATTTGACAATTAAGAGATCATTTATAAGTTTGTGGAGAGAGTCCACTCATGATTATCTGTGGACCCAAAACCCAAACTTAAGATTACTGTATTCTTGGAAACTTATCCCAGATGTCATATACTCCCAGGTAGCTTGAGGCCATAGCAAAGCAGGGAAGCAATCCTAACCCAGTTATTGAGAATGACCATATAGCATTTGAGAATCAAAGACTTCTGTCAAGTGGTACACACCTCACATTAAGATTTCCCATTACCAAGCTCTAGCATGCCCAAGCCTGTTCTGGGATACAGTTCTGCACCCACAGCAAGTTTCCTAATTCCATAATAGTGAAGAACAACTCCTCTGACTCCCAACCAAAAGAGTGGGTTATGCACCCCTGACAACGCTTCCCTCTATTAATGTGGACAATTATGAGTTGACAGCATCCTTATTTTCAGCATGCTGTCATACTAATTATTTAATTTAACTAATAATATTCCTGTGACTAAAATAATGGGCAAGTATTGTCCTCATTTTACATATAAAGAAATGCACTTAAGCAAGGTCCAATAAGCAGCAGAATAAGATTCTGACTCAGGTAATCTTACAATGCACTAGAACTGGTGATCTAGTCAATGGAATCCTCAGCATCTTATGCGTCTTTTTTAAAGTTTCAAATGGAGTCAAAGGTAGTTTTAAAATATTCACATCCTGTGCATTTTGTAAGGGGCTGAAAACCCTTATTTTACAGACAGAGCAAGGGAGGCAAAGAATTAAATAGTTGTCACACACCAGGAATATGGATGGTTCCCAGTTCTTTTAGCTTATCTCATTAGCTTAAATCCCTTTTTACTGTCTTTACTTAGAAGCAAACAAAGAATAAAAGGACAGAGTGGTTGTGACCAATTTACCACCCCTAAATATATATATATATATATATATATATATATAAAATTACTGGGATAGTCATTTAAATATAATAGAACAGTTTCACATCACCTTAGAATCAAACTACTTTCCCTAAATAAAATGATTTATCACTACATTTCCAAAATGACACCAGACAGCATATGATTTAACAGAGAATACTACCTATCTTTATTCTCCTTTCTAGTATTAAAAACCTGGGGGGGGGGGGGTTGCTACTCACATGTGACGTTAGAGACAAAAAAAAATTTAACAGGCATATAGCAATGAAAATCCTTTGCAATGAGAAAACGTTTACAATATATTAAAAACCTAGGGATTCATTTCCCTGTTACCAACATTATGAAACATCTCATTAAATCACAACAAAGGAAGGGAAAGAGAGTATATAAGCGTCAGGATCATAATCTATGAATCAGGATGGAACAAAGACTCCTTTCATGAAGAAAAGGGAACCAAGTTGCTCAGAAAACTCCCTCAGTCGGGATAACTGATTAGTGTTCCTTAGTTCGGGAGGTTAAGGAGAATCATTTGGTCAAAATAACCCCCACTCAAAAAAAAAACAAACAAAAAAAAAACCGGAGGAAGAGGGAGCCAGCTCTGGCACCCCTCCTTAGGCAGGGCCTTGCCCCTCCCGTTCCAGCCTCTTCCCAAAGCTGGGAGCAGCTCTCCTACCGCACCCCAGCCCTTTCTTTCCACGCAGGCGCCCCCTTCCACAACCCCGTGGTCCAACAATACCACGGCCCCCTTTACATAAGAGGTGCAGAGGCGAGGCGCGGCAGGGCCACCCAACACCGTGCTACGAACCGGCACCGGCGCATCATCTCTAGGTGATGCCCGGGCCTCAGCCGCTGCCCAGCCCCGGCCGCGGCGGAGGAACGACGGACAGCTCACGCTCCTCCGTCCTTCCTCCGGCTTAGCGCGATCCGCACCCCGACCCCTCCCGGGAGGGCACCGGGGTCCAGGTGGGATGGGGGAGGGGGCCGGCCCCCGCCCTCCTCGGGCCCCCCCACCTCCGTCCCGGGAAGCTCCCAGGCGCTCCCCCCCCTCCACCCCCCGCCCCAGGCGCCGGGCCCTCTGACAGGTGGTGACCAAGGGAACCAGATGCGGACGCCTGGCCCGGCCCGGCCCCGCCCCCGCCTCGCCTCCCTTCTCCCCTCCCCAAGGGTCACTCACCTGAGGGCTCCGGCGTGAGCCCAGAGACGCAACAGAAGAAAAAGCCGGGCCGGCGGGACTGATGCAGAGTGCGGGGGAGCGAGGTCCGTCCGTCCGTCCCTCGGTCGTTCGGTCGGTCAGGCAGGCAGGCGGTCCTTCCCCCGGCCCCGCGGCGGCGGCTCCCGCACAACCTCTCCCGGACTGCAGTTGTCAAGTGGGGCTCGAGCCAAGGAGCTCCAGCCAATCACGGCGCCCCTCTGAGCCTCGTCAGGACCCCACCAATCCGGGCGGCCAGGCCGCTGCCTGAGCCGAAGGCAGAGACTGGAATCCTGATGGGGAGAAAGGAGGGGCGGCGGGAGGAGGGAGGAAGGGGCGGCGAGGGGAGGGAGGGGCGGCGGGGG